GTTTATTTATTTGTTGATACAATTCTATGGACCAAACACTAAAACACATCAGTTGTCTGCATTATATATTTCTGTTATTAGGGTTTCTTGTGGTTTTCTAGAATTGTAAGATTCCAAAAAAAAAAAAGACCTACATGTACCTTTAAATCATTTTTAATAAACTCTAAACAGTAGGTTGGTGAACATGCTGTTAGTTAATGCTGGCTCATCTCCCAGTGCTCTTTTGAGTACATAAAATGCTTAATGTTACATACCTGATTACTCTTATTGTAGGAACAAGCTTAGTATTCTGATTAAGTTCAGGACATGTTATTTATCAGTAAAGATTGGGTTTTATGAAGCAAATTGTTCCATCTATGAAGGTGAGGGACTGAGACAAATTGAATATCTGCAAATACTAAGACTTCAAACATTAAGCCGTATGTTTAGAGTGAATTTAAATGACCTTTAAAAACACTTAAGCTCTTAACTTAATTCAGTTACATTTGGTAATTTCTCAAGGTAAGTAAAATAATATATAATAACAATTAGAATATGACTTCCGATTCTTATTAGATCAAAACTACTTTTTGAAAACAACCTTCATAACTACAAGTTTTTTATTGGTCTTATGTGATATTTTTATTTTGCATGTATTTTATTAGCTGTAAGCACACAAAAAAATCATAATTATTTGAAATGCAGGCTTGAGAATATCAGCATGTATGAAATTAATGTATGGAACATGTTTAAGTGGTGAATTGAATTGCTGTAATAAATGAACTTTATAGGTAATGTTCTTTCTTATGTACTGGAAATGGCTCCGTATGGACGGTCATGCGGCGTCCCGTACTGCGGCATCTATTTGTCAAATGTCTATGAACCGCAATTCTGCAGAGAATGAGGACCGCGGGGTTTCCACCAATCAGAGCAACGTACGGAGACGTCATCGTATTGCCATGGTGAGCCTCTTCCCTGCTCAAACACGCTGCAATAAATGGATATCAGAGTAAAAATGACACGTCAACGCCTCCTCCATATTAAGAGTGGGGCGTTTAAAAACCTGCGCCAGAAACCAAGACTTCCTCATAAAAGGCCGAAATAACGTGCAAAACATTTCAAGTAGCTTAGATGTTTGTTTGTTTTTACCTAGACACACAAAACAGTTTATAACGCAACTGTACTTAAAATGATTGCTGCAGATGTCTCTGGATCTTCCAGTAACTTTGGCTAAACATGATGAAAAACCAACTGTTTTTAAAAATAGACATCAGAAAGATGTATTTTTACAAATAGTTTAGCTTTTCCACAATGAAATGTCATGACAAGTACCACTAATACTTGCATGCATCCATTGTTCTTGTAATTATGTTCAAAAATATTCTTCCTCTACATCATTTCCCTCTGATTGAAGTAAAACGCATCAAAGCCCTTTTGCATAAAGAGAAATAGAAACATTATAGTGGTTCAGCTGAAAATAATGCATTTTCTAATACTGTAGACATTTTAAACATATAACATACGTTGTCTTTTTTATGTATTTAGCTGAACTAAGAACAAAAATTACTCTTTTGACCATAAAGGTTGCTGAGTTAGAACTAGATAGAATAAAACAAAAACAAAAATTTAATTGAAACATGCAACTATAAAGAGTGAAATGAGAGAAAGTCTTGACCAGTGAACATCCACCTCCATTATAGTATGTTTTGTTTTGTCAACATATCTGCCAGCTCTGACTATCTTGTTGTCAGACATTAAATTTGTATAAATATGTGCACAATATATGTAATATATGTAATATATGTACACAACATAGTACAGCAGAAGTTTTCCCCTTCGTTATTTTATTCTTTTTCTTCTCCTCTTATGCAATGTGATGTAACAGTATGATGTACAATTCTATATTCTTTTGTTGGTTAAACTAATAAAACTGTGTTTTTCAAAAAAATCTGAGAAACTGACATTTGGTTTTATATTAGTGTATATATTAGTGGAGCACATCACCTCTGAAGATAACTAGTTGAACTCTGTTTTGTCTTGCGGTTATCAGAGTAAATGGGCTTAATTCAAAACCACACCACACTTTTCAGATTTTAATTTGTAAACAAAAAAAAAACAAAAAACATTTGCAACGAGTACGCCCTGATGCCTCTCTGGCTCCCTCTTGTGGCGTTCCTGCCCAACGCGCCTATCCGACGAACTGAACGAGCCTCTCTGACGTCACTTCCCTCGCGCGGGATTATGCTAAAACCGCTGCTATCCAGCTGACAGGCGAGAACAATCCCGAACCTAAAACAGCTGTTCGGGAGGTTCTGGTCGATCCTTTCACAGATGAAGCGCGTCGCCATTGCTGCTAGCTGTTAGCAGATCGGATGTTTGTTGTTAGCTAGACTTTTATCTCTTTTTGTTTATTGTTATTATTTCTTGGCGGAAGTTTTCCTCTGGTAGCCCTCCATGCTCGGCTTGCCCTCTGCCTCCAGGAGCCATGAAACTGCAGTGCGATGTGGAGGTGGTGAACCGGATGCTCCCGTCGTTCGGGATGAAAAGTAGGGGAAAGGGCGTGAGAGCGGTGGTCTCCATCGGGAAGCATTTGGACAAGTCGAGTCAGCGCAGTAACGTCTACATGATGATCTGCACGGCCAAAGACAGAACTGGATCAAAATATAAGGTCAGTGGTTGTTCCTTTCGCAGGGTACAGAGTGTTCTGACAGTCCTCATCACTAGCATCCCATAATGGAACATTTCAAATATTCGTCAGTTGAAATCAGGTTGTGTTTCTCACAATCTGGCATGAAATGACAAAACCTTTCCTGTTTTATGTCAGTCAGTAAAACGATATCTGTATGTACCGTATCGTTTATTATCGTGATACATTTCTTACAAGAATTGTGATTTGTTATTGTCAGGATAAATTCCTATTGAAGTTCAAAATCCCCCAAAATTACATTTACTGTTTTCTCCACTGTTTGTTCGATGAGAGTATCAATAAAAGTCACACTTCTTTTTATCAACGTCTGCCAGTTACTTTAACTTTAAAGCTTTTTGTATCCATTGGAAGGTTATTTTCTATCCTAATGGAAAATGTTGCATATTCTTGAATTGAAATCAAATATTTGCATACCTTGCATTAAAAAGAAGAGTTTACTCACCACAATCTGACGTTAAATAAGGCAAAATTTATCCTGTTTTAAGTCAGGATAAGTGTATAGTTATCAAACCTATTTGTATATAATTGTGGGCAGTTGTGGTTTCTTACTGTTTCCTAGTTTGTTGGGCACATTTTTACGGTTTCTTGACGTGTGCTTTGGGTGCAGATCAAAATCATTTCAAGGACCACTAATTGCCCCTGCGCCACACGTTTTACACCCTTGATTAATTATTAATATTCCAAATTCTATAACTAGGATTTAAATGTTATATTCTTTATTCATGGCTCCATAAACCCCTGAGCTGAAGATTGAAATGGGCGAAACATGTCTCAATTTGTTTGACTTAAATTCAACACCTGTTCAAGAAGTGATTGATTGTTGATGTAATTATGAGGCTTTGTTCTGTTGTCTGTCATACGGATGTTTTGCAATTTCTCTTTCAGCTGAGAGACAACATAGAGAAGTTCTTCACTTGGTTTGTGGACGAGGGCAAAGCAACTGTGAGGCTAAAGGAACCAGCTGTTGACGTTTGTCTGAGCAAGGTATAACGCTAAGAAAGTGCTTCTTGTGGCAATCTTTTTTTGTTCAATTATTTTTACCCTGGAATAAGGCTTTTCTATTTATTTTTTTTTTGCATCATAATAACTGTCCAAAAGTAAAAAAGAAAGGACAAAACTTCTTTATATGTGCAAGGCATCCAAAACCAGAGAGAATAATTGTGCAAAAATGCAACACCTCAACCCCCAAAAATATGTACAAAAGTATCCAGCATAAACAGACTCCAAAAAGAACAGATAAATAACCAGTATTACGAATTTGGCTTCTGGTGAGAGAAAGATGCACCAATCATAAGCCTTTCCCTTAATCCACTCTCAAGCTAAAATGTCTCACTTTTATTCAGAACTATTAAAGGCATCAAACTAAAATTTGCTGCCATTTTCTGTCTGTAAGCACATCAACCAAAAGCATGTGCTCCAAATATTGTTTTTGAGTTTAGTAAATGGGGATTAATCCTTAATGTTCTGCTAAATTCAGAACTATTGCAAAGAACCTGACAGTCAGACATTTTTCTTTTTGTATGGTAAATAAACATCAATGGAAAACTATGTATGTAAGATGTAATATTCATACCACTGTGCAGATTTTCCTCCATGTGTTTTTGGAGCTTAATTGCTTTACTATGACATTGTTGGGGCTATTTTAGATAGAAAAAAGGATTACACATCTTCCAGAAAAATCTGGGAAATTTTCTGAAAAAACACAAATATTTCTGAGTTTAAAAAGTCAAATATTTGTGAGAAAAAACTCAAAATATTCTAGATTATCTAAAATTTTCTCAAAAAATTTGCTAGAGAAAACTGAAAATTTGTGGAAAAACTTGAACATTTCACAATATAAATGTTACTTTTCAAACTCAGAAATGTCCTTGTTTTTTTTTTCTAGAACATTTCTGAGATTAATCTAACAATATCTGAGATTTTTTGGTGGAAATTTATTCTTTTTTTCCTACCTACTATCGCCATCATACTTTACTCAGTCAAAATGTTAAGAATGATCTTCTGCCACACATTTCCTACTTTATTCCAAGCAGCGTGGAGATAATATTAAAAGAACTGGGTCAGGTTATTACTGTCCAACAAAATCAGGCCATTTAATTTAAGGAATTTGGTCAAACACAACCAACATCACAGGAATACATCTGTGTGGGACCGGTGTGGTTCAATAGAACTATTTTTAAGACAAAATTGTAATAATTTATCCCCAAAAAGTTATCTTCAAGGCACACAGGCCGCTACATATGAGGCTTGAGACAATCTCACTAATTTCATAATTTTATTTATTACATCAGTTCATGCTAATCAATAAAATACACCAAGTTAAAACCACTCACATTAAATAAATAACAGTGACGGCTCAAGTCAAGGGTGGCAGTGCAGTTCAGGGTAGTGACCTAAATAAAAGAAACACAGCAAACAAAACAACAAAACTAAAGAAAATTGTGCAGCAAATCAAAAGAGTACCACCACCCGGAAAGTCCACCACCAACACCACGAACTGGCCTTTCCTGTCAAGATAAAAGACATTCAAATTACATGAGTCATTTCATAATTGTCGTTCAGTCAACAATCAATCAGCAGCAATTGTCAATTAAGAATTCGTCCTGGGATGCCACGCCACAGACGCCACTCAAGAGCGGCAGCAGAGTCCGTCCAAGCTGGTCGCCAGTCCGAACCAGCCAAGCTGGACAAAGGGCAGGAGTCAGGTTCACGCTGACCACGACGGCTGGCAGAGAGCCAGCAACCAGAGCGACAAATGGACTGCCGACGGACAACCAAAATAACAGCTGACATCAACCAGGAACCACAGGGCAACAGGCAAACAGCCGGCCAAGGACAAACAGCAGCGTCTATAGCAAACATAAGTGTTAAACCACAAATCTAAAAGCATGCAGGTAATGAGCTTTTCACTTACCACAAGCTCTATGTGTAGTGCCTCTGGCTGGGAGGAGGATCAGGCAATTTACACAGGCCACCTAGGTGTACAGTTAAAGCTAAGCGAAGGCTAGGCTAACAAACAGCAAGTATAGGAGCGGCCTCTTACCAGAAGAAGGAGCGATCAACGTGCACACCTGAGTGTGCTACTGGCGCTGCACAGCAACAGAGGTCTAAACCGGAAACACATATTGACCAGGTGAGGGAGGGCCCCTTATATACAAACAGCGCCACAACCAATTAAATGCCAGCACTTGTGTGGTGCGTTCAAAACCTCCAGGGCATACTGCCACACATCCTTTATGTGTCTTTTGACCCATATCCTGACACGCTTGTATCTCGTTCATATTTCATTTCAGGCCGATCCAAACAGTTTGAAGAACTTCCTGTCAGCAGCGCGCTTGGCCGACCGAGGGAGCGACACGAGCAGCCTTCCTCTGTCCACGCTTACTCCGGTTCGAGCCAGAGATGTGGAGCAGCCAAAGAAAAAGCTCTCAGTCATGTCCAAGAAGGATTACCCGCTCACCTCCAACTTCCCGTATTCTCTGGAGCAGCTGCAGGTGTCCTACTGCAAACTGTCCCGAGTGGACATGCGCATGCTGTCTCTCAAAGGTGCATCTGTCATTTGTTAGCTGAAGCTCATTTTTGTTTTTAATCATTTTCGTTGCAGCCCACACCAAAATCACGAATACCCACTAACTTACTGGTTGTGGACAAATTTATTAATTAAAACTTACTATTAAACTTTTAATACCATAACGTTCTCTGTATTCAGAGAATACATCTTAAATTAAAAAAATATTCAACATCTTTTCATATGGATGTTCAATATTATACAAATGCCTAAATGCGTAAATTTGGAAAGCATTACTTATAGTTGAAACCAGATATTTAAAGACAATAAAAAGACACATAAATATTTGTTTTCTCACTATCTGAAGTTAAATCAGATCAAACTTTTGACTTTAGGTTGGTTAGAGTTACTAAAATTAATGCTATTTGTCAAATGACAGAAAACTTGACAAGAACATTTTTATTTAATTTTTTGAATATATTAATCTGAATGGCAAATAACTTATTGATCTATGTATTGAAATTAAGGTAAATTTACTTTGAATTTTAATAAAATGATTATTGTTTGTTAAATTAGTGTTTTGTTCTCACAACAAAATATTTTTGTTTTTCTTACTGTAGAATGTAGAATACATAATAATAACAATAACACTAATAAATGACGCTGTATAATAGTGAATTGAAGTTGTCATTTTTTAGTACTTTTGTATTTTTTTTCATCTTCAAGCAGTGGTGTTATTAAAATTACTGTGAAAATGCTTGAAATGTTCTTGAATTTTACTGTATGGTCTTTATGAAAAGTGTATTGAATACCCGCTTAAATGTTGTTTTGAAAAAGTACTTTTAATTTGACAAACAGGCTTCATCTGAACCCATATTCTAATTTATTGAATATGACTTTAGCTCTCCGCAGGCTGGATCTGAGCAACAACCACATCAAGAAGCTCCCTGCCACCATCGGCGACCTCGGCTGCCTCTCTGAACTCATCCTCCACAACAACCACCTGGAGGCCTTTAGCGAAGCCCTGTGCTTGTCCACGCTGCAGCAGACCCTGCAGGTGCTGGACCTCAGCCAGAACCGGCTGCAGTCCCTCCCTTCCCGCTTCTGTCAGCTCAGAGAACTGATGAACCTGAAGCTGGACGACAATAAACTGGCGGGTTTGCCGCTCCAAATCGGCCGGCTCTCGAAGCTGAGGTTCCTGTCCGCTGCTCACAACCAGCTGACGGTTCTGCCCGCAGACTTCTTTAAGCTGAGTCTGGAGAACTTGGATTTGTTTGGGAATCCGTTTGTCCAGCCCAACCCTTTGGACCACACCATGCATCTCACCTTCCCCCTTCCGCTACAGGAGATCGCATCCAGAGCTGTAGCTGATCTCAGGTTAGGTCATAACTCTGTTACTTTGTTAGATCTTCCATCTATGTTGTTCCTAAGTTGTTGGACCTAAGTGCATTTAACGTTGTACTTAGTGTTATATGCATCCTTAAGAAAATCTAAAATTCATGTATCTAAACTTAATGGGAATCTATCAAACAAAATTCACATTTTTATACTTCCGCTTGGGTCTCATCTGCTTCTAAAAACAGCCCAAACGTTTAAAAAAGAACACCCAGCTGTTATTTTGGCATTAAGTTTGTTTTTTAGTGTCTGGTAAATTAGCCGTTTAAAAAAAAAAAAAGTCATTTGTGACATTTAATGTCACAAATGAGCAGTCACTGCCCATCACCCAGGAGCCGCTTAAAATTATTGCTCATCATTTTTTATGTTTTTATGGTGTAAAGCACTTTAATCTGCCTTGTTACTGTGATTTGCTATACAGACCAACTTGACTCGATCTGCTCTTTGATTCCCCTCCCAGAATCCCGTACGGGCCTCACCTCATCCCGGCCCACTTGTGCGAACAACTCGAAGCAGCCAAGATGTGCGAGTGCGGGCGCGTCTGCGTCAGCTTCCACATCAAGACGGCAGTGAGCATGAACCTGCACCAAGTGTCTCACACGGTCGTGTTGGTGGACGACATGGGAGGCACGGACGCGCCGGTGCAGCAGCACTTCTGCTCCCTCTCCTGCTACTCCGAGTTTTTAGACGGATGTCTTCAGCGAGGCCTGAGATGAGGAACAACATCTTAAGTGGTCGAAAGCATCACAAAACGCTGCAAAATACCTTGCTACTTTATTTTAGAGAATATATGGAGGCGGCTGGGGTAGTTACAACCTAGAATCTTCCTGAGGATGGCTTTAGATGACTTTTTTTTTTTTCGTTTGTTTTTAACAGCGCTTTATTCAGCTGGTTTTTTATCTACATACTCGCTTTTATTAGAGTATTGTTACCTATTAAAAACAGTGCATTTCTATTGCACTGCTGTGAAAATCTCAAACATGATCCTTTTCTCCTCCTCGTATATCAGACTTCAGGTTCCTCCACTGACCTACATCTTCGAGACAAGGGAATAAAGAAATAAGCACAGCACATCAGGGTCCAACAAGGAGGCTATTATTAAAGCTGCACCTGTCAGGCTTTTCCTGACTGATTATTTTTACTTTTTTTAGGTCAATTACACATAAACAAATGTTCTGCGGGTTTTTTTTATATATATATAGTGTTGACATTTTACTGGTTTTTACCAAACTCAAAAAGTGCCTCAAAGTTTATGCTGTGAAGACTGAAAAATGGTGGAATTTCTAAGCTTTGATCCATTTAATAATTAGATAAAACTTTCATAATTTTCCATATTTGACCTGCCCAACAAGGGGAAATTGGTCACTTCCAGTATTTGGATGATTTGTTGGTGCATCTCTAGTGAAGTCCATAAATTTTTATAAGTGCATAAAGAATAAAAGTATTCATTGGTACATGTGTGTGCCTCATTCTTTAACATTGTAATTATGTGGGAATAAAAATTTTAAAGTTTTATGATAAACCATTTAGTCACTCAGTTTCTAAAGTTTGTCCCATAAAATTATATTATAGATATTATTTTTAGCTATTTATGCTTTTCTCCTGCACTTTTTGTCTAATAGCAGAAGATGAATACATTGCCTAAAAAAGTACTCACCCTTTTGGATGATTTTCTGTTTTATTAATTTCTTTCATGATCAACAAAATCTGGGTTTTAGGTCTCTTCTTAACACAAATATTGAGAAAGACTAAACATTTAAGAAATGTTTATAATAAGATAACTTTTTTTTTACATTTACTTTCCAACAGAATTGTTTGGGTGTCAAAGTGAGGTCCAAAATTATGACAGCTTTTCCCATGATCCTCCACTTGATACATATGAAACTTCACTAGAAATTACTTTTGGTTTATTTCAAATGTAATGAACACAGATGGAAAAAGAATAAATGTGTGGAAAAAAATGGAAAGAAGCATAAAGATAAAACAAATCCGCACCCTGGAAGAAACCAAAACTAACAATCTATACATACATAACATTTAAGACCTCACTAAAAGGTTGCATTCAGTGATAACTGCATCCCAATTTAGAGGGTATCTGAAAAACATCTGTATCTAAACATCAGTGTTTATATCTGGTTCTGTTTTTGGGGTGACTCTGGAACATCTGGAACATTGTGAGACAAACGAATCCTTATAAAATCAGGAACATTGCAAACAACCATGTGCATTCTTTTTGTGGGACTGTAAGTCAGAAGCTCTTTCAGCACCGCTGAAATGCTGACCTCTACAGGAGATCCTGTGTAAAAGAATGTTTAACATAATTTACATTTAATTTGCCTCTCTGGTTTAAAAAGTAGTTTTTATTTAAATTAAATATCTAATTTTGTTCAAGGATCCTTTCAGGTCTAATTTGATAAGGATCAGCTGCCTCCACCTATTAGGAGCGAGACAAACAGGATGTGATGTAAAGTTTTTAAATAATCACACCCAATGTCACTTTATCTGCATGGTAGCGGTGATTTGTTTCAAGCTTGAACTTCTTTGGTGAATAAGAATTTATTTTGTACAGATAAAATGTGTGAGTTAGGATTTTTGATACGATATGTTCCAGTTGTTTTTATGGTTATCTAATTATTATTCACAGAATAATAACATTTAGAATTGACATATTCAGGTTAACTTGGTATTAGTTTATTAACTTTGGGAGAAAACTATTAAAATCTCACAGAACAATTGCATAACATTGAAAACATCTACAGTATAATAGGAAAAAAACAAGAAAACATTAAACATCATCATTCTTTTTAAAAGCAGAGCTGATCAGTCCAGCTCATAAATAAGTTTGTTGTGGAAATTGAAACCTGCAGATGTGGAGTGATCAGTGATCAGCGTCTCTTTTCCATCTGCACCGATCTCCCTCAGTGGCCAGGCTGCTGCTGGCTTGCTTTGCTCCAATGTTTGGAGAACTTGATGTGCTGGCAGGTCATCTTCATCTGTTTCTCTTCCTTTCTCTGCTGCGTCTGAGGCAAACACCTGGTGGGACTCCATTTTCTCCCCTGAAATAATGACTCTGCTCTGGTTTTGAGCGGTCTCAGTTGGTGGGAAAACCTCTTCAGGAGAAATCTGGGGTTCCTCAGTGGGTGGAAATTGCTGGAGAGAAGCCTCTTCTTGAGTCTGACGCATAAAACAGAAGAGGAGAAACAAAGTTTACGCTACTTTTGGTCGCTCCTACTTGACTTTACATAATTGGAGTCCTGATATAATTTGGTAAATATATATATTTTTTGAGTTCTTGGGGGTGTGTAAACTTTATAGACTCTCTTGCAAATTAATATCTCCAAAGTATTTAAATTTTATTCAAATAGCACCAGGTTGTAGTGGGTAGCTTTTCCCCTAAATAAAGGAAATCATTGCAGTCTTGCAAACAATCTCCAAGAGTTAATGACAATGTATTTTTCTGGATTTTATAAAAGTGATGAGATAATAATATGGATGTACTGTTTTTGTTGCAATCATTTTCCTATGCAAGGTGGCCATATTGGTTTTTGAAGACAGAATTGGTGACACTTCAATTTTTCCAACTTCAGTATAACTTACTTTTTCCAACTTAAACTTCACACACAACTTTTGAAGTTTAGGTTGTGTGGCGCAACTGTGAGAATTGTTGACCAAAAACGGTTCCTACCTGCATATTTTCCTGTGCATTTTTTGCCTCCTGGAGTTTTGAAGATGTTGTTTTAGACGTAGACTCTGGATTTGAGGTCAGTATTGCTTCTTTTTCCTCTTCTGCGGAGCTAATTTGTTCATCAGACATTAAAGCATCCTGGTATTCCATTACAGGAGAGGCAGCTGAAATTTCTTGTGAATACACTTCTGGGTCGTCTTCTTTCTGATAGTGATGTTTATCCAGAGATGATCCTTCCTCAGAATCTTGGTTCTGGTTTTCATTCATCGTCTTTAGTCCATCTTCCTCATCATTCTCTTCCTTGCTCACGAGTAATCTTTGTTGCTGTTTGTCCCAGTTTGGTAGTTCTGTTTCTGGCTTTTCTTCTTCTTTTTCATGCTTTCTTTTTAATTCTTGACACTTTTCCTCCTCTGCTCCACTCTTCTGTTCTTCAACGCCATTTTTGACTTGACTTCTTTCGTTCTGTTCATCTCTTTGCATCGCTTGCTTGGTCTTCTCACAAATCCCTTTCTTGCCTTGCTCTTCGACCTCATTTTCCCCTTGAAGATCGCTCACCAAAGGATAAGGTCCAACAAATTGATGTAGAGATTCATCAGGTGGACGGACTGGCAGGGTGATGGTGAGCTGTCCTGTGTATTTGTTGAACTTGGCCTCTCCTTGGTCTTCATCCACAGGGTAGGCTAAAGGCAGCTGTAGCCTGTAGGCAGGTTGTTTGGACTCTAGCAGCAGAGTTTTCTCCATGACTTCAAGGTTTGTGTCTCTAACTGACTTCAGAAGAGGCAGGTCGATAGTAATCACAATTTCCTTAGGCCTGGGGCTCTGAACGGAGTCTCTAGAACATCTGAAGTCCTGTAAATCAACCTTAGATCGATATTTTACTGTGTATTTTGGCTTTTCTGGCTCCTGGTTGTTCTGTGATTGGATTTGTTGCTGAACATCTTTGCTGTTTGTTAATGTAAGTGACTCTTCAGACTTCATCCTTGGCTCAGGAACCTCTAACAATGGCAAGGGAGAGTTGAGATTCTCGGCATTGAATCCAGGTATGGGTCTTCGGATGATACATGTCTGAAGGATACCTTTATATTTCGTCTTCATTTCTCTCACGTTGTTTTTGTCTAGCTTCACTTTATATGCTTTTTGAACTCCATCAATCGCTGTGTCATTCACCATATCCATGAATGGCTTGTTTTTAGAGGCCATGTGCAGCGTGTCAGGGTGGAAAATAACGTCATAGATCATGAATGTGTTGCCTTTAGGGTCTTTCTCTGTCCTCCCGGGATAAAGACTGTAAGGCAGAGTCCAATACTGCCCCCTGCGGCCATCATCTGACACTCCAGTCTTTACTTCAGGTTTCTGGATTTTATCATTGGCACATATGTTGATGAAGCATTTCTGTTTTCCAGCTCCGCTTGTTCTGATCACCCTGAACGGTGTCGGCTGGATGAAATCCACATTGTTTCCTCTCTCCTGCTCCAACTGTCGGATTTCCTCTTCGTACTTTTTCCTGTTTTCGGGTTCAGATAGTTCTTGGACGTATTCGCAGAACATCTCCCTAAATTTACAGTCTTTAAAGGCTTTGGTAAATCTGCCCATCTCCTCCGTCGACAAGTTTAGCTCTTTGAGTTTATCGCTGATGTCCATTTTGAATATTTGGAATAAACTTTAAATGTTCTGAAAAAATTACCTCAGTTTAAACACATCAACTCACGCAATCTATGAAAGCGAGTTGCTGTCGTTTCAGGCCCAGCAGAAGTCCACAGAAAACGGGCGTTTGTGTTGTTGGTGTCACCATGGTAACACCGAGGCGAAGGGAGGGCAAAGAACGTCCGGGTAGTACGTCAAAGTCGCCGCCATATTGTACGAGGCAGTTTGAGTGGAAGCAGGTCTGAAAAGCGACACTAACCAGTTCTTTAAGTCAGTTTATTCAGCTCAAATAAACAGTTAATCAAAAGTTTAATAATTATAAAAATAAATAAATAAATAATTGTGTCCATTAGTTACGGAAAAGGCCACTGAGGGGGAAAAAGTTGTTTTTTTTCTGTCGTTTAATCAAATTAATAACAGTAAATATCAATACTGTAAATACTGCAATGGTTGGTTATTTATTTATTAAATTAATTTTCATCAGTCACGTCTACCCTTGCATTTTTTCGGTTGTAGCTAGTGATGACTTTCTCAGAGCAGCAGGTGTCGCTGTGGATCACACTTTATGTCAGTAAGTCAGTAAGTCGGTCAGTGAGGCAGATGGGCGGGGTTGCCGGGAAGAGCGCTGATTGGTCGCGCCCCCAGCAGTCCATATTTCCCAGGTTATGATTGGACGAAGATGCCGTTAGTGGTTGTGGTTCGACTGCTGATAAATGTGCGTTAGAAACACGGAAACAAAGGAAGACCTGCCGTTTATCTGGAGTTATCGTAGTTTTGTTGTATCTTATCTCTTTTGGGATCCTGGGAACGTTTGTTTGGTGTGTTTTTAACTTTATTTTTTGCATAATTTTAGCTGTGTTTAAATTTAAACCAGCTTGTATATTTAGTTTAAATTAATTTACCTTTTTTTCCCATCTCTTACATCTGCCTTTTAAAATAAATTGAGTTGTCTGTGTTCCTTACTTTTTTCTTTCTTTCATTAAGCACCACTTAAAATGACCTTTTGATCAGAACCAATGCCGAATGCCTAAAGGTCCACACAAACTGGTGTTACGGTGATAAAAAGTCACACATTGTATGATTATATGTTACTAATAATAGCATTTATAAAAACTGAAAAAAGTGTCAAAATTTAATATTTTTTCCATCACATGTATAATTATAAGGTCTCATGAAAGTGTTTAAATTCAACCAGTTTGCGTGGCTAAAATGTGAAAAAATGACTCAATTTAATAAAGCTTGAGTCTTTTAAAGTCAAATAGCAGCTTCGTCTCCTTCTTTCCTCCAGACTGAACCAAAAAGCCCCAGAAATTGGTTAATAAAAAGCAAACTTCTCGTCAGTCTCTTCTGACTCAACTGTTCTGGCCCGGAGATAATCAGGAGAACACAATGTTCCCGACAGAAGTGCTTGCAGAGCTTTTATAACACACTCACACAGAAATCAGTTTAGGCCAACAGGAAGCTACCCACGGGGTAGTAAGCTCATTTGGAAGAACATGAGTGAGGCTCAGCTGACCAAAGAAGGCCGTGGTAAAGAAGGAGGTTGTGTGACACATGGAGGATGTGGGCTGACACCACTCAGTCTGTTTCTGAATCATTCGGCTGGAAAACACTGCTGACTACGCCTCGTTTCCACTCAGAAATAACACAAAAGCACAGCTCATTTAAGTGTTTTTTTTTAAATTACAAACATGATATTAAATAATATGAAAAGTTAGGTGGGCAGATATATTTGACATAGAATCAAAGTACTCGTGATTAGCTTTCAAATGTACACTTTTTTGTCACTTTTTACCCCTCAAATAAGACAAAAAATGCATTTTATACTCAATACATTCACACTGACATCAGTATTATGACAAAGATAATGTCTTGTAGGAGAGGTGGACAAAATGAAACGTCAGCAACTGAGTCAATACAAAAGCTTTGGCAAGGATGCATACAAATTATCAATAATAAAAAAGTAAACTAAATATCTTTTAGAGAAAATCCATGTACAAAATGAGCAGTAGAGAAGGAAGAGTCCAGTGCATGTTCAGTCTTTTAAAGGTAAAACGCAAGCAGCCATGTTTGCTGCTCACTTTGACCCTCTGGTGTCTCAGGAGTGAGAAAGGTCCATGCATATTGTTTTTTTAGGTAAATTGATTTTCTTATCAGAAACCAGCAATAATTTTAAAAAAGTGTTTTAAAATACAAAATATTCAATTGAAATAAAGCCATTTTTTCTGATTTTGTTGTCAAAAACTATCTGAAAGAATTTTTTCTCATATTCTGCCACAATTCACCCTGTGACATCACTGCCCATTTATCGTAAGGGTTGAGTGTTTCAGAGTATGTGCCTCATCCTGTGACATCACTGGATATGGTATATGGTAAGGGTCAGCCTATTGAAGTAGATGTTTTACACATGTATCAGCATGTAATCATGTTTCTTTGGATTAGCAATTTTGGTGAGATGTGGAACCAAATATCAGAGGAGAGAAATAATGCTAACTTGTAACAAATTTGAGCACAAAAAAAAAAAAGAAAACCTTAACTTCATGTATATTACTTTTGCGATTTGGCCTCAAACCACTTCCTATCACACTAATGCCAGTTGATGCATATTTCACACATACCTAGAAGCACTTTTCTGCCATCTAGTGGTCAGAGCTATGCCTAATTAGGCCTATTTTTGCTAATCTGATAAAATACTTCACCTGACTAGAAACACAGGAGGAAACCAAACAGTACCTTCTGGACTAGGATATAAAAATGGGTCAAGTGATTTTTTTTTTATCTTAGACATGAGAGTATATCAAACTAATTTGTCAACTCGGCTGTTTTTGACCTCAGAAAGGCAGAATGGCTCATGATTCAATTTAATACTTTGAAATCAAAATATTACTTGGTTTTCATTACTTGTTTCCAATGAGAGCATCTACATACCAAATGCACAGACTGAGAAAGATGGCATTTGTTCAGTGTCTATTTGGAGCTGGCAGGTACTAGCATGCTCAGCGTGCCAATGGCAGCTTTAGAGGGAGGAGTTTTGTCTGCAGCCATTTTACTCAGATTGCGGACATCCGCCTGCCAGGAGGGGATCTTCTTTGTGGTCATGTGACGGCGAGCATGTTTGGTCAGGTGGTCGCTGCGCATGAATCGGCGATCGCACACTGGACAGACAAATTTCTTCTCGCCGGTGTGCGTGCGCCGATGTCGGGACAGCTCATCAGAGCGGGCGAACCTCTTATCACAACCGTCCCAGCTGCAGCTGAATGGTTTCTCACCTTCAGGAGGGAAACAGAAGGACAGACGGGAAAAACAAATGAGTCACAATGTTGTCATCAAAAATCAACATGTCAACTCTAATATAGAGCAATGATCTCAATCTTGATTCTCTATGACACAAGCTATGTTTCCATGAACAATAAAGTTGTGCAAATTGGAATTATAAAAATAAACTTGCTTAATGGAAATAAGGCAATTAAAAAAATAAATAAAAATAAGTTTTAGCTTTAGAGTTAAGGTGATTGGCTGTATCGAAAACAAAAGGAGACACTTTTTTTCATATCTGATTATTGATCTCATGATCAGTAACCAGATATTACTACTGGCGGAAAAGATGAAGAAGACAACAGGAAGTGGAAGGAGGATGATGGCCTCGTATATTTTTAAACAACTTATAGGGGGAACAAACTTATTCAAGTGTTTTATCAATTGCATCTCTTATTTAATGGAAAAACCAAAATTGAGAAATAGTGTTTTTTTCACTTCACTGAAATATCATCAAAGTTTTGCACACATTTGTAATGGAAACGCAGCTTGTGCCAGCCACCAATCAAGAAAGAGCCTCACCTGTGTGCGTCCGTAAATGAGCCTTGAGGTGTGAGCTCTTGAAGTAAGTTTTTCTGCAACCTGTAAAGCTGCAGATATAGTTTCTCCTGCGAGAAAAGTCTATTTTTGTGGCTGCCGTGTTGCTGCAGGGCCCAGCCGGCATGTACATGGGGGCCGGGGCTAGAGGTAGCAGTTTGGTGTTGCCCAGGGTCATGACAGTCTGTTGGCCCTGAGGGGCCTGGGAGACCGAGGAATGAGGGAGGACCAACATTACCGTGGCCTGTGGCACTGCTGAGCCCACAATAAGGGGTTGCTGGAGGGAGGGGCTGTTGGCCGACGCAGGGTGGGGGAGGATGGGTGTTGTGGCAGTCCGAATTCCAGTACCGGAGGTCTGACCTGGACTGGGGATGAACGCTGAGATTATTCCCGATTGGCTGCAGATGGGGAACATCTGGCAGATGATTTGTGGACTGGTCACTGAAGTAGGAGAGAGAGTGGGTGGGGGGCCTGTGGGTGGGTTTGGTGGTTGGGTGTTGACTGTGGAGGTGGAGACAATGTCCAAGGAAGGTTTAGAGGGATTGACAGGGTGCTGTGTTGCAGGAGGAGACTGAGGTGTGTTTGTGATGCATTCCTCTTGCTGCTGCATGCACACAATTGTTCCTGTTGCAGTCACTGTGCTCGCAGTTTTCTGTGTTATGGAGGTGACTGGAATGTGGCGCTGCTGGCGCAGGTCTCTGTCCGCAGTGTGCCTGATGACGCTGGTCGCCATGGCTCTGCAGGGGTGTGGCGGGGCAGGCAGGGACAAGGTCCTTTCAGGAGTGTGGGCCAGGTTGGGTTGATGGAGCTCAGGTCCAGAGAATGCCGTGGACACGGTGGGTGTCGGGGAAGACTGCACCGTGCCGCTTGAAGAGGTCTCAACAAAGCTGGGGCTGTGGGGAGGTGTCATACACTGGAAAGAAATGGGGAAGGATTAATGCTATAAAAACACTTTACAGAAACATTATACAATTGGTTTCGCTGGACTATCAGACAAAGACACCAAACTAAAGGTGTTTATAGAGTTTGAAGACTCTATTTAAGCTAATGCTACACAAATTAAAGGAGACTATTTTGATTTTTATTCTTTTTAACCACTCAGACTTGGTCTTGCTGGGTCATTTTCTTGGTGCTTAACCCTAGTTCGGATGAGAATTTATAGTTTTACAGTCATGAAGCAACAACAAAAAAAAAAAAACACAAGACATCATACTACCAATACCATGTGGTACATCCAGAGTATGCATGATGATTTTCTAAACAACAGATCTAGTTTTTACCTTCCACCTGGCATTACACAGAATATTTTCCAGAAAAAAAAGTTTTCTGCAAAAATGTAAGAGAGCCTTTGTGTTCTTAAAACTCTCCCATGGGTTTAATTTTGTTATTAAATCATGAGCACTACCCTGAATGAGTCGTAATTTTGGTAGGCCGACTACTCCTGGGAGGGTTCACCACTGCACTGTGTTTTTTTCCATCACCATCATTAACTAGAGTCCCAAAATGTGGAAAGAACAGGGATTTTGTAGCCTATTTACTGTTGTCAGGCAGGTCCAATGGAAGTGCTTCTAGAGTTTTTACTTCATGAGAATTTTCCCAGGATGGCTTGAAAATAGGACAGGGCATTTATTGTATTGTTTCTCATTTATTCTGACACATTTTTATCATGAGAAAAATTTTGATTTATGGTTTTTGCAATAAATTCCAATTAATGATGTTTAAAAAAACCTAAACTATTGTCAGTTTCTCTGCCGTTTGTTAAATGCGAGTATCAGTGAATACCAATACATTAAAAAAGTACAAATCACACTTTTTTGTCCTAAAGAAAATTATTACAAATGGGAATGTTTTTCAACAGCAGTATTGGTGCTTGTGGGTCTTTGATTGCCATACAATTACCTCAAAAAGAAGTTATAAATAGTTTTGTCACTTTTATCATGATCAAAATAGTACCACAAAATATTGCAATAATATTTAAAAAATTTTTCCTTTAACTTTATAAATAAAATGTCTTTGTAAACTGTTTCTTGTACTTTTTCCAAGTTGCTTAGGCATGACAAGAACCAAAAATCAAGGAATTTTGTACTTTTTTGCAACACTGTAAGTATCACATAAAATATCCAGGTGTATAACTGATGCAGCTGAACTATAAACTGTGATTTTATGTGTTTGCATCTCACTGTTTGACAAGCTCTTACCAGAGAGGAGAGGGACACAAAGTCCCTTGGGGACTCCTGGAGCTCCAGCGGCAGGAGGGAGTCGCAGGAATCAGAAGCCGGAGTGAGGGGCCGGGGCTTGCAGGTATTCAGCTTGCTGCCGCCGCCGCTGCCACCGAGGAACACAGGTTGACCCCAGGAGCTCATACACACCAGAGCTTCAGCCGCCTCCAGATCAGTGTACTCCAAAGCAGAAGAACAGCTGCTGGTTCCACTGGAGACAGATTGCTCGCTGTCGTGCCTCCTTCTCTTCAGGCACGGCCCACACTGATCCATATGTACAGCCTAGGAGGAACAAAGAAACAAAGCTGTGTTTTTAACCCACTACTATGCCGAGGTGGTTGATCAGTTATGACTGAGTAAAGGAAACTGAGTCGTGTACTGTAAAATACAGCAGCTGTATCTGCTCAGTGTGGCTGAATTTCCCGGGCCAAACTGGATGATGCTACCACTGTGGGAGAGAGGGGGGTTGTTGGTGACTACACCCTAGCCCTGCATGCACTCCCTCTGGACTGAAGCCAGGACGCCTCCCCTTCCCAAATATAGACCCAACAGTGACGTGTTGCCAGATCAGCCATGTGAAATCCCCATAAAGCGGTTCGCATCAGGAAGTAGTCTTGGCAATGAAACAACTTTGTCTTATCATTTATCATAAAACGCCAATTACCACCTTGATCAAACTGTCTTCTGGTTGTTTTTTTAATTTAAATTTTTTTAATTTACACAATAATACATTTTGTATTAAAGACTGAAAAAAAGTTCCTTAAATAAATACATATTTATTTAACTATGATCAGTATAGAATATATAATTAAAAACTTTGACAATGTGTGTAAATTAGCTCCTGATAATGGTTTAATAGCAGGGAGTAAGCAAGAGAACATTATGTGACTGTTTGGAAAACAAAATAAACAAAGATTTTTAAAAAGATCTCACCTCCTGTAAGTCCATGTCATTAATATTTCCTAACGCCTCTGAAGCAAACAGAAAAAAAATGTCCCGTTAATTTTGTCGAAGCCAGTGTGGAACAAAGGATGGACTTCAGATCGTCTCTCTTTTTTTCCTCTCAGCTGAGCTGTGTGTGTAAAACATGGGTAGGGACAGAAAAACAAAACTCGCAACACGTACTCACGGGTGGCAACACTCAGCCAATCGCCGGGCAGCGAGTGCGGCGCGCTGACCAATGGGAGAGCAGAGAGCGCGTGAACAGTGCGTGCTCGCTGGACGGTTGGAGGAAATAGGGTGCGTGGCCGTTGGTGGGCGTGGCCATAGAGTCAGCAGTGTCAGGGTGAACCCAGTGAACTGACAGTCGCTGAAGTGGGCGAAAGGTCGGCTCGGTCTATGCTGCGTTTGAGGACAGTTGGAATAAATCTGGAAATGAATTAGTTTATTTCTCAGGCAAAGTTTATTAATTTAGCTGAACTATTTTTCAGAGCTGTGAAGAAGTATTTGCACCCTTAGGGATTTTTCACTCTGTAAAGATGAAAAACAACTTTTGCTGTCAGTCAAACTTTACCTGACTAATTTAGGATATAGGTTTTGAAATAATGGTTTTATTTCAAAAGGAAGATAAGGATAAGGAAAATAAATGATCCAAACACAACCTGTATTTGGCCACTTGGTACCAATATGTCCTTAGCAATTTTGTCAAAATTGACAACATACACATAAATAACTAAATGACAAAATAAATGAGTACATAAATATATAAGAATTTTTTTTAAATACATGCAATTTGTTTAAAATATATATATAAAACACATGTAACTTGAACATGATTTTCCCTTGTTACCAAAAGATCTATTGAAAGTGTTATGAAAGAGATTATTGAGCTTTCAAATTGTCCTTAAACGCAACACTGACAGCAAGAAAAGCGCGGGTTTCTGTCACGTTTTGACGTTTGTGCAGCTCCGTAACAGCGAAAAGCGGGAAATCAGCTGGTTTGCAGTTAATTGCCCCGCCACACATGAGATATTGTTGAAGCATGTACGTTGCAAACTGTACAAGTCTTAATACTTTACATTGTTTTTAATTTCTAATTGAATAAAAATGGGATAAATATGTTGAGGGTTTGAGAAGACAGAGCAGACGCACATATTTTATGTTTTCTGTATGATATTGCAAAAAATATAAAAACATAAAAATGCATGTTTTGTTTCTCGTTCTTGTCATAATTTTGATAATTTCTTGGCATAATTTTTCTTTCTTTTAATCATTTCTTTAGTGTAAATCCTCTGTCTTGTTCTTATCGTGTAACTATAGCAATGTTCAACGTCACACTTTATCATGGGTAGTGATAAAATACCCATGATACTTTATGGCATTGCATACAATTATTCAGAAAAAGGTTTTTCTCTATTGATTATTTCAATCTAGCCTTTCTGTCTCATGATTTTGCATGATTACATTTCATATTTCATTATTTTATCTGTAATTTATTTGTTTTTAAGAATGTGAAATAATACCAAATTATTAAAGCTTTTATGAAGCTTTTTTATTACGATAGATTTCTAGGTTTTTGTGGATTAATGCCAGATCTTTTTCATTGTGGGCCCTATTCTGGGTTATAAAGTTTTTGTCCTTGGAGAGTTTATGGTTGTTCGAAACATGAATCACATGGCCGACCTACATAAGCACCAATAAGTGCATGTGGATAAACATAGCGTGTCATATGTTATATCAGACTTTAACACTAGCCCAGGTCCCCAATTTCCCTAATTATTGGGGCCCCAAAAACTTTTTTTAATGAACACGCTTGGAATGTGTACTATATAAACTCATTGGCCCATATCAGATGAAATAGAGACATACAAAATCCCACAATATTACAATGTATGTGTGATATATTGATACTAAGTTTTGTCCAATATTGGTAATTTTTTTTAAACATGCATGTATCAGTCCAACAAAGAAATGGCAGATAAATATTTAAAATATAATATTTACAATATTGGTAAATATCGGTTATCAGCCATAACAGCATTGGATATCGATATCAACCCAAATTTGTCCAAATATGAACAATACTGACGTATTTGAAAATTATGAAGATATTGAAATTTTTTTTAGGATGCTCAGCGAGCATATTAAACCTGCCTTGCACCTTCTCATTGAGGACTACCTATTAATGTATTGTAATTTGTATCAGCAGTCATTTTTCTGCAGTGGGTCGGGCACCAAACCTGGCTCCAGGTCAGGAGCCAAAACCTGTAAACCTGTCTCTGGTCATATGTTCCTTAAAACGCCAAACTGGTGAAAAATGAATCATTATACATCCAAAATGAACTCTTCATGTGTAACTAAAGAAAATAACATTTGTATTGTCATATGTAACAAAGAGCTCAACAACTTTAAGACGACTTTAAGAGCGCAGACCTGTGCTGTTGTTGTTGACCTGTTGGTTTATTAGCAGCTTCCCTGAAACAAAAAATGGGAGTTCAGTAGGTGTGTTTTCCCAGCTCTGGCAGCGCCCGGATGCGAAGGAAGGCCATACCCAGGTATGACTCACACAAGCATGACCTCAGTTAGCACTGAGGACGGTTTCAGTGCCAGCTGTTAGTGAGCAGTTGAGGGAGGAGCTACGGGGAAAACCAGTTAGCTCAGAGGAATGACAAGAAGTTGGGACTGAGTACAGCAGTCTGTTTGTCATATAAGTGGGGCAGGCCATTTAGACGAGCCGGGGAATCTGGAGGAAAGGTTACACCGGCCCTAATGTGGGCCTCTGTGTGGAAACCTCCCCCATCTGGACCACACCCCCCAGTTCAGGAACTCCAGGACCTAGAAAAGGCTCAGTGGGACGTGAGTGGTTAAATATATCAGAGTCCAGACAGACAAACAGGAACTGTAAAGGCACAAATGTTCAGCATCACATTTCACTTGTTCCAACAGGATCAATACGTGGACTTTATCTGATACCTTTCTCACAGATTATCAGACGCATTTCAAGATAAAATTTAATGGGTTTACAATTTTAGACCGAAGAGTCATCATGGCCAATTCTGCACAGTTATTATTGTCCATCATATTGTTATTTTTATTTTGTTCTTACTGCCTAACCTTTTTCTACATCAATGGGTTTTTTTCACAGATATTAACAAAGTGTTGAAAGCATGTAAGATGACTGAGAAAGCAGTCTCTGTTACAATTAAGGTCAAAGGTCATGGAAAGAACAGTGTGCATACATACTTCTTTTGATTTGGGTTACAGCTCTGGTCAGAAGTTTCCACCCACTTATCATGGTCAGATTTGTAATAACTTTAGCTTTTTAATGGTACATCTGGACTATTCTGCTTCCAGGATTTAATTATTACCCAACATGAAACTTTATGAATGTTGGAAAGTGAACAAGTTTGGATTTATTTCAGGTTTTTCTTTAATTAACATGCTCTATATAGAGAACCTACACCCAGACTATATTTGGTTCAATCTTTTTCACCAAGTTGCACCATGACTGCAACCAGGAAGTTGTTGTAGCCATCAACAACCTCCTGGCTTTTTTCTGTCTTGATATTTGTCCACTCTTTGTCACAGAATCATTTCAATTGGTTGATTTACCTTTCACAAATCTATCCTTTTATGCACAATCCTTCAATTTTTAACTGCAATTGATGTCTGGACTTTCCAAAGACCTAATATTCACTTTTATTAATTCATTCATTCCAAAACCAATTTAGATATGCCTTCTTGGAAAAAACACACAGCTGTTAAATTGAGGTAACACTGAAAAATGAGAAATTTTTATTGTTTAATCTACCTAAAATGCACCTTTAATACATTTTTATTCTTCTTCTCTGAAGTTGTGTAATAGTCCCACTGACAAAAAATGTCCCAACAGCCTGAACCTCCCACCGCCGTGCTTCATCACAGGCTCCCAAACTTTTCCATGCCATGGATAGCTTTAGTTTCTGGAATGGGAAACCGTTTCATAACTCACAATATTTCAATAAACGTTTTGTTTTTTATCTGCAGCAGGGAGGTTGTTTTTTTTTTAACCGTTTTTCTGGTCAAAAACTTATCAAATTGCGCTTCCTACACGAGCTTGAGGAGCAAAGAAGCTTGATAAATTTGCTAATCAGCCAATCAGAAAAATGTGCAGAAAACATTTCAGTAAGTTGAGGAAATGATAATGATAAAAATTTATTGGATTTTTTTTATTTTTGCATTTTTTTTCTTATCTTCCCTTAAACTTTCTGAGGCCGCCCATATCACCCCATTAGTGACACCTCACTTTAAAAAACACAAAACATCAGAGACGTGTGAATGTATATGAGACTTTATGCATAAATAATTGATTTAATCAGAGAAAACATACAAAAACTTCAGACTTATGCATCAAATTCTTGCGTTTAAGACTCATTGACCTTGTTTGTTGTATGATTTTTGCTAAACATCAGTTTAAAAAAATTATGAAAAATGTTTGAAATTCAAGACGATGTGACAGCTTAACTGGCAACAGTTCAGTAAAATGATTGATAAAAAGAAAACACAAAAGAGTCGGTTAACTTAAGCTTAACTAGCATGAGCTTTAACAGAGTTTTAAAGCTACACTGCTGTCCAGAAGCTAAAGCTGAAATATGAAGAATGACTGAAAACTGGCTTGTTTTCCAAGAATAAAACTAAATCCATTTTTGGAAATGATGCTGCATGCTAACAGAGACTGAAGGCATCCAGCTGGTTATCAGTGCACAGTTGCGTGACAGGATGCAGGATGTTTACACGGCTTTAATAACTTAATCTCCCAAGCCACCATTGATTCTTAATGATTTATGCAGTTTTTGGGGCAACATATGGTGACATCCAGATACGTTTTTGTTTGTATAGAAAGAGCTTTGAATATTTGTCCAAATGCAGTTGAACCAGATATTTACATACACTGTATACAAATCCTTTATTCTCTCTCTCACATTATATACCTCATTTATTTCAGTTTGCTGAATGTCAGAATAATGAGAAACATGATTTTTAGTGTTTCTACTTTAGACTAGTTTACAAACTAAATTGCATTGAAGCTGAATGGCTTTGGACAAATAGTCCTGCATTTGTCTTATTTCTTATCTTGCTTAATTATTTTCTTATGATGCCA